GTGATGGCGAGGGTGCACATGCCTTGGTCTTGAGTCTCTTGTTTCAGAGGAACGACGACTTCTCCGCCGATGGTGAGGTGTGGGGTCTTGTCTTCCAGGACACATCGACGACCTTCTTAAGAAGGGCCGTTGGTGCGAAGATGTTCCGGCCTAGTCCTGGCACGATGAGACCTTGTAGTTTGACGGGTAGTTGCTGTTCTTTGTCGTCTTTGATGGTGCAGTGTAGGATCCCAGTGGTAGTGCCTCGTAGTTGGCTTTCTCCTGCAACGTCGATGATCTTGGGCGTCGGGCGTTCTTCTTCGAGACGTCCATTCGGGATGAGGCGGTCGTCGAACATGGTTTCAGAAGCTCCAGAATCCACCAGCGCGGAAGTCCCAGTTGCAGTTGTCGTGAAAGTGCGTCCGCTTCCCTTGCTGCATGTAGCATGGTACATGAATCCACCCTTGAATGCATCTTCGTCGTAAGAGAAGCCGATCTCTGCCTTCTCGGTCTTCTCTGTTTCTTTGGGAGGTTCCGTTATGGTAGGCTTGGCGTGTGTGTCTCCTGTCTGGGTTGAGCAGTGCACGCAGTTGGTGCATGCAGAAAAGGTCTTGCCCGTGCGTTCTGGTCGCTTGGCTCCTTGGTTGTAACACTCTTCGTCGGAGTGTGTAGTGGTGTTATGGACGGAGCACCACTTGGTTGCTCCCGCAGGCTTCGTCTTCTTTGCCCTATGGCCCTCCCGCTGGCGATTGGGACAGTTCCTCCTGACATGTCCCGGTTCGTTGCACTCGAAGCAGATGGGGCCAGATGTCTTGGTAGCCATGGCGAATACGCGGCCAGCGATTTGGCCCTTGGTTCTCTTGCGCATTTGCTCGTCAAGGAAGATGTTGCGCATGGTGGCTTGCATCTGTTGTACGTCGAATGATGGGTCGCGGAAAACCATCATCTTGATGTCCTTGTAGTCCTCGGAGAAACCTTGCACACAGATGTCCTTGAAGCGGCGATCGGAGATGGTTTCCCCCATTTTCTCTAGTTGAGAGCGGAGGCGGTGTTTCTTGTTGAAAAAATCGTCCGGGTTCTCTCCTGGCTCCATGACCGTCCTTTCCAGGTCGTCCAGTTTAGCCCTGATCACTTCATCTGTCACTCGATTGTAGTTGGCCTTCAGTTCCGCGAATGCTGCCTGTCCGTCGCCGCTAAGGCCGTTGTCGTCTCTGTGCTTGTGTACGGTTAGTGCAGCCGACAGTTCGACGAGGCAGAATAGGATTGCGTAGAGGTCTTGTTTTGCTCTCTCGTATGCGGCGAAGGTGGTGTCCGAGGGATCAGGCCTGCGCATTCCCTTGAGAAGTGGCATGATGTCCCTCCGAGTAACGCCGACGACTACACCCAATTTCTTCATCCAGTCGTTGAAGTCCTCTGGTTTCGTTCCATCGAACTTGGGGAGTCCTCTGATGACGTTGGCCAGGTTTGTGGATCCATCACTCCAGATGCTGCCTCCGCCTCCAGTTTCCGATTTTGCTTCCATTTCTGGTTTTATCCTGATGATCTCGTCTTTAATATTTTTGTTGGTGTATTACTCAGCTATCTGTCGCTGAGATTTTTCCAGCCCCGCTCCTTCTATTGATATAGAGGACTCCGGTTGCCGATTCGTGACCCCGCTTCTGAAACCCTTTTCTCACCTAGATAGAGAATTGGTGAATAGAACTCCGGTTGTAGGCCAATTTGCGACCCCGCTCCTGATACCCTTTCCTCACTTAGGGAATCGGTGAATAGGACTACGGTTCCCGGTCGACTTTCGCTGTTGATACAGTCTTCCCTCCTGTCTCCGCCGCAGAAGTATTTGCTCAATGTCTAAATCGAGGCTTCCCGCGCAACACTTTGCTGTTTGTTCACCACAGAGGTACCCACTACTGCTGTTGCAGCAGTGATAACGTGTGTGTATAATGAACTCTCTGCCCCTTGGTGTAGATGACCAAGTAGTGCGCTCACTTTCGTTTCCGCTGACCGTTGATGATCTCCCAAATCTCCGAATCCAGATTTCCGCTCGAAGTCCACAGACGGATGTTGTAGTCCACAGCAGTAGGATGTCTTGACCTCCGTCGTGACGTCCGCAGCTCCTAGTGTTCGCGTAAAGCGAGGCTCATAACCTCACAGAATGTGGCGTCCTGCAGCAGCGGAGGTGGCGGTGCTGCTGTAGCTCGTAGACTTTGTAGTCTACCACAGAGGTTACACTGCTGTCACCGCTCTATCACAGAGGTTGGTCTACACTGCTGTGAGATCGGTAGGCCCGAGCGAGCTCTGGAAAGAGAAATGTAGATAGATGTTCTTATCAACTGACTCCCTGGTCAGGCTTTGATGGGTGCTAGATGAGAGTGAGCACAAGGGGCGAAGGCGCGCTTGTGTCTCATCTCAACAACAAAACAAAAACAAAAAACAAGCAGCAAAAACACAGCAGGTTCCGAGGGTCTCCGGAGTAATGGCCCCGAGTACCGGAATTTCGGGGTTCGGAACAATAAAACAACTACAGTCTCGCCTGCCAAATTATCTCCGCTACAACTCTGTGCTCATGTTCTCTGCTGAGTACCATCTCTTCTTTCTGTATTATGTCTACGGAAGGCTAGTTGCCGCAGTCGCACCTATGGAAAACTGTGCCTGACTACGTTGTAACAGTTTTCCTCGACACTAGCTACTGTAACGTTCGGAACAGGAGGCATGTTCAAGTGTTGAGAGTGCTATTATATGGGAAGAAAAAATAAAAAACGTGTTCTCACTGTTGGTGTAGGTCTCCTTTTGTAGACTTGTGAGAGGTTCGAATTGTCCCTCCATGGACCTTCATCCCAACATTTGCCGTCCGCATACTTCGGTGGAGATTTTGCAGTTCCAAATTGTGAGTGATGCGTGACTATGTCGATAGCATCGAAGATAGCATCCGTAGGACGATGGACGTACCTTTCCAACAAAGTTGGTTTTGGAATCGACCCATCTTTTCTAATGTGGCCAGATGTCCGTTGGTCGTGTAGACGGATTCCTGCGGTTGGTTGCAGAAAAGAAATTCGAGGGCGGCCGGATTTGATGTTATGTGAAGTTGAACATACATATGGTGTGTGGATGGTAAACGACGATATGCAATGGTGCAAAATTGAAAAAAAAGAGGCAATGTGACTCGGGATGTATGCCATAGGTCGAATACCCAAAAATAATGTACTTTCGGCGGCCGGGTGCCGAAAGTGCGTGTCATTTATTGTGCACCTCCAAGCTGCTTCCGTAGCTGTCAAACAACGTAATGATTTCCATTGCATTATTGTGTCCACCGTGTCTCCGGTGGCTTCCGTGATGGCGAATGAAGATCGGTCAGGTCCTTTATAAATGTACCTGAGAGGTAGTGAGTGTGGTGGGCGGATGACGGAAGAAACAGTGAGGGGAAACGTGAAACGAAACATGGGCAACGAGCCGAAGAACTGGGCGGTGATCCAATGCGAAAAAACACACCTCTTATCGTCGTGAATATGTTAATAAAAAATCAGGATAACAAAATATCGGGGAACGTCATCATGAATATATACTCAACGCGAACATGTAGGAGACGATGTTGACGGTCGCGCTGACTTCGATATTGATGTGGGCGTTGAACATTAGCAGCAAGGTGCTGTTGTACGGGACGATGTCGCCGTTATCCGCCGAACGTCGATACAGGGGATACCCTCGTGCGTCGAAAGTCGTGGCTTCTTGTGGTGGCTTAGGAAATCGCTTCTTGCACTGGATGTGCCCTTCCCGGTAACATTGTCGTCTTGTACTCTTGCATCCGGAGTGCGTCATGAATTTCTCGACGATGGCGTGCAATTCCGGTTCATTCTCTTTGTCCGGCCATGTCGTGCGCATGTGACGGTCGATCGCATTCGGGTTATCAGGAGCGTCTTCGTCGCAAACTTTACACCGTGGGGGAACAGGAACAAAGTTGAAGGAAAATGGGCAGAAATCAGTGGGGACGTTGTTCAACACGAGTGATTGCGAAGAGTCAAAAAATGATGCCAACAGCGAGTAGGGTAAAATTTGCTCGCTTATAGTAGAGAATAATGCGTTACGTACAATGAACACGGGGTATCTATTTTCAGTCCCACCTTTGAACACGATGTGGGAGTCCTCGCTTCTGAACGTGTGGCGGAAAGAAATTCATGCAAAGAGAGGAGCAAGATGATTGGCTGACATAATAAACGGTGTGGACATGTTGATCTCGTGATGAGCATGCACCACATTTTGAACAGGGATAGAGATGCAGAGTATTATCACCTGAAACTCGATGACGGCGATGCGGAATATAATCTTGCCGAAGATTTTTGGTAACATCTGCGGTGATAGCAGAAGGCGCGAAAGAAGGTTGTTCCAAGTGTGTGAAAAAATTGTAATTGAAGTATATTCGCAAATTGATGCCCACTGTTGATATATACTCCTGTATTATCATAGCGAAGGATATTATCACCTTAAAGAGCCCGTCTAGTTTTTGCTTGAAAACCCTCGCGCAAAGTTGAGCACGATCGAAGGCGGTCTGACCCGCATGGAGCTATTGACGGATTTCCGGCCAATCCTGTTCAATTGTTGGACAGGCAAACGTTTGTGCCCTACACGTAATAAGCACCGAATAATTATTTGTCAGAACAGCACGAAAAAAAAACAATTCGTTGCAATTTTATGGCAGGGGTATCGATTATTGTAAAGGTTTACAATAGACGTATATATTATAAGTACTCACCGTGTTGCAAGTGACCGTAAGGAAGTAAGATGGTCTGCCAAAGTGGCGTAAAACCGCCATAGATAGCTTCCGTGAGTTTCTTGGCTTGATCAGCAAACCCGCCGCTGAAGCTTGATGGCACGATAGACAACAGTTTCGCCCGAGTTGTTGTGCGCCCTGGGATGACGTGCCAACGCCGAAGCGTGGTGCATCGAAGCACGATACTTGTCTTGGTTGTGCGGGTGAAACGCGAGGCGCTGATCTTCGATGCAACTATAAACTAAACGTCAATAGGGAATTCGTTGACCAAAGGTCCCAATTGTTCGAACCGAGGTTCTCTGAACAATAACTGGGTCACCCATCGGGCCAAAGTAATTTTATGCCCAGTGGTGCTTTTCAAGTTTGGGTGCCGCCCGGAATCACCACCATGAGGAAAGAGCAGGACAAAAGTCAATGGGAAATAATCCCGATTGAGATAACATATTGTTTGTGTCCCGCCTGTGAGTGTCCTCATCATTGTTGACTTCTCTGTAGGCATAACTCCCCTCCCTGCTGCGAGTGTCGACAGTCATGATTTCCGAAGAGGGGCTCTCTGGTGGATGGAACGCCGAAGATGATGAAATGGCAACCGCCCGTGGCCTGGACAAATTGTAGTTAACGAAGCACGAAATATGTGGTCATTGCCATGAATGAGTACATCAGGATGTGGTATAACATGAATCAAATGTTTCACGTTGAGTGTATTGTAGACACATACCGGAAATCCATGGCGGTGTGGAGACGATCGATGTAAGGAGATGTGGACCGCAAGGAGTCTCGTAATTTTTCCATAACGTCCTTGTCGAGATGGTCGGAAACGTAGTTGGGATTGTGCAGAAGAAGCCTCTGGACGTTGGAGTGCTGGCCATCTCTGACGGAATGGTATGTTCTGGAGGAAGTTTTGGTGTAAGGGAGGACATTGTGGAACATGTACAGAATGAATATTTTACTTCCATTGCGTCTATAGATTCAACAGGTCAGCGTCGAGGTAAGCGTGATTTGTAGTAGTTTGGCACGGACGAAAAAAAGCCTCTCACAATATGAAATACTATCTAAACTACTATCATCTAAGAAGACATGATGAAACTCTGTGTTTACAATGATCTACATAGTGAAACCCGAAGGCATCATACAAATTTCCTTGCTCACCTTCCTTGGACGGACAAAAGGTGGAACATGTACAGAATGAATGTTTTACCTCCATGACACACACATAGAATGAACAGGTCAGCGTCAAGGTAAACGCCTCACACGATATGAAGTATTATTCTAAACTTCTACCTATTAGGACATGTTCTTAGTGTTTACAATGATCTACACAGTGAAAGCCGCAGACAGCATACAAATTTACTTGTTCACCTTCCTTGGACGGACAAAAGGTGGTCGCCAAACATATTCTTCAGTTCACCGCCCTCGACATTGAGCGAGGCGAAATCGCACCGGCAATTGTACATCCTGGCGTCTTTGCGGAACTTCTGAGCCGAAGGTTCAGAAGACTGGTATAGTTCGCTCAACAAAGGAGGAAGTGGAGGAAGCCTGTGGAGTACGAATTTTCCGTTCTTGCAACAAATTCCCTTCGATTCTTTGGCGAACAGTTTCGCACCGCAATGGGCGCAAGGATCAGTCATCTGGATGTTGACTCCCTTGTCTCTTCGCGCTTCCTCCAAGGCAGAAGTACGGTTCTGGACAATGTCTTGAAGTAAAGCCCCGTCGTTCACTATATATACCAAAGATGTTGTCGAAGCGTTGTCTCCGCGCGCGTATGATGTCTGTCCTACGCTTCCGGCGGATGGAGTTTAGTTGGTTTCGTCTCGCATGACGACCGTTTTTCCGACGAGCGTTGATGGCTGCGGTATTAGCAGCCCGATAATCGCGCCATTGGGCGATACGACGTTCATGGCGTGTTCTACTGTTACTTGCCCGAACACTGATGTTTTCGTCGGCCANCATGGCGGGTTCTACTGTTACATGCCCGAACACTGATGTTTTCGCCAGCCATGTTTTACGTCTAAAAGATCAGATCGGTAAAAATATGCGGCATCCAGTATGTGAAAGAGCGCGAAGCATCGGGGGGCCGAAAAAGATATTTTGGGTCATTGTTTTATTAATGTCCAGTTATTGCTGAGTTCCAGCGAGTTTGAGTAGTCACGAAGTGTACGGGCTCGCTATAAAAATTGAAACACTTTGTTGGTGGGAAGGTATCCACGAGTACGACGCTATCGGCAAGCAAAAGGCGGGCAAGACT